GAAATAACCGACATTTTCGGCTCATTTAAAGCGTTTTTTGGCAGTTGGGGATCTTTAACCAACTATTTCTTCTTTATTATCGACCCAACAGCTTACATCGAAAGGAATGGATTGAGCTCAAAAAACACCGATGTAAAATTTGGATTTTTGAATTTTTAAGGGTCTATTTTTGCAAAAGTGAAAATTTTCTCAACATGTCTTAAATTTGATATAATTTTCATATCACGAACGCGAACACGCTAGAAGCATCAGTTCCGCATTAAGCGACATTTTTGGCTCATTTTAAGCGTTTTTTGGCAGTTCGCGATCTTTAGCCGACGATTCCTTCATTATTATTGACCTAGACACTTTGAGGAATAGATTGAGCTGAAAAACACGGCTTTATAATTTTTGCCACAATTGACCACTGACAGTGACGTTTGCAAGCGACATCCTTAATCCTGTCAACGACGACAATGACAATGACAGTCGGCTGATGACTTATCCATAGTATACTTGACATCACATGACAGTGCCTTGTGCAGTGCACACTTGACTTAAAACGACGTCTTGCCAGAATGCGCATATTATACCAGAACCTTACTTAAATCAAGCGATTAGAGTCAGTGGCGTAGTGAGCGGTTGCAGTTCAGGGCGTGCCAGACTTCCTGCAGTTAAAAACAAGATCGTGATGCGAGAAGAGCGAGATTGGAATGAACTAGACGAGTTTGTTGGGTGATATCGAAACCAGGACCTTTGCTAGCTGATAAACGACCCAGATAAGCCCTTGGTAAATCATGCTTAGAATGAACCGGCGGCGGTAAACAAACAGCAGCGCAAAGTCGAGGCCCGCTATCAGGCCGGCAGCAGGAAAAGACATGGTGAGCAAAGGCGAGCCTATCGAAAATACCAGGCCGTTTTTTGGTTCGGCGGCAATGACCTTAAAAATCACTAGAACCATTCAATGAATGGAGGCTTCAAGGCGATTGAGCGACTAAGTTCAGTACGACCGCTCGGGAGACTATTGGGACTGTTGTACGATGTACTTAAGGAATTTTCGGGCAGCGAAACCAGGCGAAACATCCAAAGTACGTAGATGCACCAGGCACGCGTCATTTCGGTACTGTGACGTCCCGAGAGATGTAGGTGGATGACTTACGGCGGATGCTGGGACATGGGCGGTTCCTTGTTCGCTCACTGGAAAAACATAAAACAACTCGAACCGAAAACAAGACGAATTCGACGACGAAACGACACCACTAAACCGTTCTCGCTAACTGAATGATTGCAGAAGTGAGAGAGCGGCAGTACTAGTTCCGTGACATATGCAAGTTACCAACTGAAATTTGCACGATAACTGGCGCGCATTCGCTTTGAACTGCACTGATAGCATGTGGGAACGCCGCCTTAACTGGCCGAAAATGCAATCCTTTGTGCAACGAAATGCCATTGCGATAATGCAGCGCCAGAAAACCGGTGCCTGCATGTCCCTAATTGGACCCATCAGGAAGAAAAGGGACGGGGGCCGAAGATCGCATTCCACTTTAAACCCCCATTTCTTTGGTCTCCTCGTTTAGCCGTTCTTTCTTGGGTGCATCGTACATTTGCATACTAATCTTCAATTCGCGAATCAAAGCGCGAGTCTTCTAGAAGAAGAAATAGATGAACGGGTTTCTCTTCCACTACATCTAGACCTTGTACAATACGAGCGCCATAAGCGAAGCACGCATGCAGATTGCAAGAACAGTGGCACTGCAGCCATATACACCTTTGGACCCTTCTGGGAGAAGAAACAGACCTTATAAGGGCGCCCATTAGCAAATCATTCGAATGCGACACTCCATGCCTCCATCAGTTTTCATACCCCGTCATTTGTTCAACAGCAATCTCTCAATCTTCTCTGAGAAGAAATACTAGAAMTTGTCGCCATAGCGCCACTGAAAATGAAACCTTCTAGGAKAAGAAACAGATCTTGGACGCATGGTCTAAGGGACCWAATTTCATGCTAATCTTCTGTGTCTTCCGTCAGCCTGCATCCGATTAGGCCATTTCTTCAACCGCGAAATATAAATGTACTTTTAGCTCTTTTAGAAGAGGAAATAGAAGAGAGAACGTCACAATAGAGAGTCATTGAGACATATAATTGAGATATATAAGAAAGTCGCCAATAAAAGTGGCTCAGCCCTGAGGGTAAATGTACATATTTGGAACCTGCTAGAGGAAGAAATTGAAGAAACCAACTACAACTAGTGGAAAATGAGCAGAAAGGCCCGAGAAAAGTGGTAGGTACTAACGGGCAAAGTTAAACTTCGGAACCATCTAGAAGAGATAGAAATATCGCTGTTGCACAGTAGAAAAATTATGGTACCAAACGGTTGCTTCGACGATTCCCTTAATACATAACATTATTGAAACGGTGGGTCCCTTTAAGGAACACGCTCCTTTAGTACCGAGTGCAGGTTCGGCCCTGAACATAAAGCGGCGATCTGCCGAATAACATTCTTCGTTTAAGATTTAACACTCGAAAGGGGGGAGACGTGAAAGAATCGGGGCCAAGACATACAGACAATGCGTGCCCGCACGTGCACTATGCCGGTTCTTTTTGTGCCTTTTCCCCTCATAGAACCCAATTAAAAAGATCCCGAACCCGAACGGGATACTTAACGCTCAAGGGATCGGAAAGTTCGGATCTTTTCATTCCCCCGGTAACTGAGTTGCCTGTTTCTGAAGAATATGAGCCCAGTTTAGTAGCGAAGCGAATTATACAGGGTGATTTGATGGTATGGCACCAAAATGCCCGAGCGAGCTTAAGCGGTTCTTGAACGTTTTGATTGAGAAAGTCATTTTTTTCTGTTGTCGGTTCTGGTAGCTGGTTTGGACTGGATTGAAACTCATTTCCTCCGAAACACAGTTTGGAA